TTTCACGGTTACTGTAGTCCACGGTGTGAGGAACATTTAATATAACACACAGTTTAACTTATCTAGATATACTGACACCCTCCAGTCATATTGTAACAAAGTAATTCAATATTGTCAATGAAATAGCTACCAAATGTCTCATATTAAGGCCCACCAACCCTCGCCAGACACCGGCAATGTCCAGTTGGCAAAACATCAGACACCCACCTGTGTGGTAGTATTATTTCAGAGTGAACCTCACGATAAAACGGCTTTTGATCTGTATACACCCAGGCATCAGTATACACCCAGGCATCAGTATACACCCAGGCATCAGTATAAACCCAGGCATCAGTATACACCCAGGCATCAGTATACACCCAGGCATACAGTAAAGCCTCGAATAACAACGGTAATGTGTCCTCCAACATTACAGTGTAAGGTGAATCATCGTATCATTGATTACCATTAAAATAAAGCAATAATAATGAGATGTGTTCCCCAGTGTGACCTTTTCATATCTTTTGTGTGGCTTTTTACCCTCTTTTCCCCCAAAACAATACAATTAATGAAAATTGTGAACTATTTTCTTTGAATAATATTTCTGAATGCACCTTATACAATATAAGTGAATAATAATATGGTCACACAAGAGGAGATGGAACGCCATTGTTTTTGTTTGTGTTTACAGCCGGGAGTCTGGGATGATAGTTCTACACGAGAAAATTAAGAAAATATGACCCTGGTTGTAGCTGTAGTAAAATGAATGTAAAAAAATGAATACAGTAATACAGGTAGTTCTGCTATAACGCGATAATTGTGTTCTTGTAAAATATCGTGTTATAGAAAATCGCGTAATAGAAATAACAGGGCTTATGGAGAAAATAGGGTTAGGTGCAGATTACTCAAAATCGAAAAAATTTAGTAGTTAGCCTAACACAAAGGATAGCACAGTCTAAATAAATGTTACATTCATATCTAATAATGAAATCATACAGTAAATTTAACACTTTACCTTGAAAAAATATGAATGTAACTTGATGGGGGAGAAGGGTGATTTTGAGGTTGATAACATCGAGCTTCTCTTCAAGTGTTATATCCTTTCTTTTACGATAATCACCGGGAATTCTATCATCAGAACACTTTTTGGAGATATTCTTCTTTACCATATTCACAGTTAATACCACAAAATTGGAGAAATAGTAAGCAAAAATCGCGTTATAGCAAACAAGCGTTCGCGTTATACAAATATTGTTCCGAATTCATAAATCGCGTTAGAGCAAATTCGCGTTATCAAAACACGCGTTATAGCAGAACTCACTGTACCCCGATTTACACTTTCAATTGAGCCCGCGGAGGCCCACGGGAAACGCTTAAAGTGAACAACAGAACATATGGGATTAATTGAAATAGAGACTGGGCCGACCCCCAAACTCCACTTTTCCCGACACAATACGTATGTTTTAGTAAAAATAACATCTTAATTTTATGATGGTATGCACACACAATTAATAATTAAGTGATATATCAATAATATAAGGTTTTTTAACAATTACATGAGTAGAAAAGATGGCTGGGCACACGGGGATGGGGGGTTGGTTCCAAGGCAGAGGGCAGATTATTGGCCCTCACCTGTATCAATTGTATCACTATCCACCAGAGAGGCTTGCAGAGCCTCTTTGTCAAACCCCTCGAAAGTCCATATAAGTCCATATCCTCACTATCACTGACTTGGGTCGGCTGTGGTGGGTGGCGGGAGAAGAACTCTGTAATGTTTTGATGACTGGGCGACCTTGTGCACACCCTGCCTGCGCCGCTTCCCGCGTATATGAGTAGATGCACCGCGTGAAGTGGGAATTCCGGTTCTGGCGGGGAACTGCATAAATGTGGAAACGCGTAAACAGGAACCGCGTAAATCGGGGCATTACTGTATATATGTTTTAAGTAACGTTATTTAATGTTAATAAATGGAACAATAGAGGTAGCTAACCACTAATGGCAAAGAAAAAAAAAGAGATGGATTGGGAACGCCAACGTACGCGTGCGCATTTAAGGATACCGCGTCATTTATCTTTTTAAGAATATGTACATAAGATTCATTGTTGTTTATTACTGAATATGTAAGTCTCTCCTTGACTTACGACGGGGTTCCGTCCCGACGACCAGGTTGTAAGTCGAAAAAGCAAAAAATAATTTAGAAAATCGAAAATGAAATACAGTACAGTAAAAGTAATCAATAATGAAGATTAGATACAGTGTGACTGTGCACTTACCTTTAATGTAGTCAGCTGAATGCACACAGGGCCCCATAATTTTTAATTAAACCTGGAGACAACATTAACTGGATGATGCAGAGGAGGAGACAAGGCTGGGTGGGTCATCAATGTCGCTTTCTTTAGACAGGTTTATGGACTGTGGAAACTTGCTGGTTGAAGGGATTGGATCATCTTGAGGGAGTGAAGAGGCAGCACTGGTGGGGCGTGAGGAGACAGCAATGGGGGACTTCTTAAAATATTTGTCCAATATAGACTGCACAGTTTGCCTTTTCTTTTCATTGTAAATCTCCCTGTAGCAAGCAAGTGCATCTTGGGTCATTCTGTCAACTTTTGCAAAATGCTCAACATTTTGATCCATTCCATCAAACATTTGCATCCCCTTATTAATAGTAGCAAATGCCTCTGCCATTTGTTTCACTGAAAACTTTTTGGGGGGTGCAGGTTCTTCTTCTATATTTTGTCTCTCTTCTTCCTCTGCAATTTTCTGTGCTTCCAGTTTGATAAGATCCTCGTTACTGAGCTCTTCTGCTACACTTTCAACCAACTGCTCAACATCTTCATTATCAATTTCTAATTCCAGCTGTTTACCCAACTCCACTATCTTGTTACTAATCCTCTGAAACTGTTCACGTATCTTTTCTTCCATATTCCATTCATGCACTGACCTGTAACCTCATCCCATGCTGCAGCTATGTTTTTTATACATTGCAAAATGTTGTAGTCCTTCCAAAACTCTCTTGAGTGTTTTCTCACCTTCAGTAGCAGCAACAGCCTGAGCGAAGATCGTACGTAAATAATACGCTTTAAAAGCAGCGATAGCATCTTGATCCATGGGATGGATGACAGAGGTAGTGTTAGGTGGAAGGTAGACTACCTTAACATCAGGGTGCATGTCATCCAGGTGTGGTGGGTGTCCCGGAGCATTATCCCAAATTAAGAAAATCCTGAACGCAATCCCTTGTCGCAGACAATACTCCTTGGCTCGTGGAATGAAACAACTCAGGAACCAATCCTCAAACAGTGCTAGGGTCATCCATGCTTTCTTAATACTGCAATAAAACACTGGCAGTGTGTGCTTGCTGACATGTTTAAAAGCCCTGGGGTTCTCTGAATGATATACCTTGAAACCAGCTACATTCTCCCCCCAGGGGACGACAACCCCAGTCACATGACCCTGCGGTCAGACACTAATACATTGGTACTCGTGTCTTGCAGGACACGCTGTGACTTGTGATATGGAGACAATATTGATATGATTTAATGACAATGGGAGTTAGCACCCACCAAAGTGTGGGTAGTGTACAATAATTAGATCTAAATTATTATGAATAAGTAGGTGGTGACATATAGTGGTGAGTGACTCTCCCTGTGGTAGGAGGTCCCTGACAGTCAAGACAATAGTGTTGATGGGTGTTAGTGTTGGGACAGTTTACAGGAAGAGAAGTGCAGGTCATCCCCCACCTCAGATAGGTCTGTATCCTCACCTAAGGCGAGCAGAGACAACATTATGTCTGGACCATAAGTCCACGTTGACAATACTTGTGTGGATAAGGAAGAAAGTGATCATAGTGTTGGATGGATATAATTTCAGCCCGTTCACCATCCCTGCGGTGGATTGTAGGGAGAAGAGCGGCTGAACGTATTCTCTTTGGGTAGGTCACGATGGGCTTATATTTAGGCCTAAAAGATCCTGATTGGACAGCCATAATTTTGAGAATCAGTTATTGATTAATCTTAATAGAAAGATTTACAAATAAACTTGTGTAATGTTGTGACTTTTATTCTTATCTTTAGTTAACTTTTATAATTAATTTTTACTTTCATAACTTGAGTACTTTATGAATGAGATACTTTTTTACTTTTACTTGAGTAACATTTTGGCAGTGTAACAATATTTTTCTTTAAGCTTACATAGTCCTGTACTTTTTACAACTACTGTAGTAATATGTAGCTTCCTACAATGTAGTGAGGCAAGTCGTACATACAGTACCTCCATGATACACGATGGTCACCGTACAACCATTCATCTCCCTGGAATCACTACATCCTTGACCACCGTAGGGTCAAGACCTATTCGGGCGCTGCTCCTGCTGAGCAGCGGCCCCCCTTGGCCAATGTTCGGCCCATTACCCCAAGTCCCTCTCCCTGACTCATCCTCACTACCGGATATCAACATAATCAAAAGTGACAATTTCGTTTCGGAAAAAAGTGGTACCAGCGTTGAACAGTGATGAATAGTGTTTAAGCCAGTGAATTCAGCACCAGACAGTACCAGTGAGAGCCGCGATGCACCAGTGGGATAAGCACCCCTGGGAACTGACCACCATCTTCTGACCAGGAGGTGCTAATCAGTCCACCCTGTGAACAACAGTGGGTCGGCCTCACACCTGACTACGAAATAACACAACACCAGCAGGGTGAGGTACTGTGACCACCCCACACCACCCAGTGTCCCCATGACCACGTGAGGTCCTTCATATCAACACCCGAGGACGAGTTACTACACCACGTGAACACCACACTACCCAGTGTCTCCATGACCAGTCCAGGCCCTGGCCATCAACTGTAAACTTTCAGTAATGAAAGCTTCTGTTTAAGCGACCCGCCCACCCCATGTCTTTGTATGTAATAAGTCATCTTTGTCCAATGTATATTTAGAGCATTTGGGCTGCCAACTTTTTCAATAAACCGTTAATTATTATTATTATTATTATGTCTTTTTCTTTTCTTATTTTTTCTTGACAGTGAACGAGAGAGAATGGAGAAGGAAGTGAAGACAAAAACCGTGTCTCTCTGGTCGTTGATCCTCAGTAATCCGTCAGATTTTGAGAACCCTTTATACAACTCGGCAACACGCCACCACGTGCTCTTTCCTCGTACCTCTATGCGTCACCTGTGTCTGTGGGATAAGTACTACTGCAGATGGAATCCTTCTATGAGACAACAGGTATGACACTTTATCATGACCTATAACAAACATTATACATATATGGTATACACAGTATTTGTTATTACTGTACAGTGGTCCCTCGATTAATGAACACAATTGGTTCCACAGAGTCGTTCATTAACTGAAAATTTTGTTAACTGAATCTATTATTTCAATGGGATATTGGGTAATTGGTTCCAACTCACAGAAAAGGTACATACAAAGTACTGTATACCGGTAATAGAATTAACAAAACATTAAATATAAACTAAATACAGTACTGTACTGTACAGTATACTGTATAATAATATATAAAAAACAATAGAGTACAATACTGTATTTTCACTTATTTTGAGGTGTGTATGTCTAATTCCCGGCAGTTTTGTTTACATATCAAACAGCTGATTGTAGAGGCAGTCGATGATGACATGCCATATTCTTAACAGAGTACATTGGTTATAATGCCTTCTTCATATTTCATAATAATTTCCGCACTGTATATTATCAATATGTGAGCTAAATTTCAGAATGACCAATAATCTTAATATAAAAATTGCAAAAATATTCAAGAGCACAACCTTCTTGATATTTTTTCCACTGGAAACGAATGTAAACATAGAACCAATTACAGCTCCTCCCCGACTTACGATGGGGTTAGGGACCCAAATCCAGGTCGTAAGTCGAAATGGTCGTACGTAAGTCGAAAATGCTTAAATAATACATAGAAAATAAAAAATGGGTGTCTCTTTTTCTTCTCAACACCACAAAACTCTCACTTTTAAGCTTGCCAGTCATTTTAAAGTGAATTACAAACGAAAATTTTGTCAGTACACAGGGCAATCACTGACGTTGGGACTCGAAAATATGTAATTTGACAAAATTTTGGTACGACTGAGGCGGTCGTATGTCCGGGTGGTCGTAAGTCGAGTAGGTCGTAAGTCGGGGAGGAGCTGTACTGTATTGGCGGACTAGCCAATCAGCGGATGCTCACAACACAGCGTGTTTCTCGTAAGGCTTTCGTTAATAGAATTGAAAATACTTATGGGAGCTAATTCGTTAACCAAAATTTTGTTAATTGGACCGTTCGTTAATCGAGGGACCGCTGTATTATATCCAGTTTACTCTTTACTAAAGTAGGAAGGACAATTAGGTGTACAGTATGTAGTCAACTGAGGACAAGTTGATGGCAGACTTGTACATTTACTCTTAACCTCAACAGCTCCTGCACCCAATTGTCTTAATCTTGAGGTAAGAAAGAAGTTTTCTTGTTAGGCAGCTGTATAACCTGACCTGCTGTTCTTAAATATTATTATCTTGGTTTTAATAGGAGTCCTCACCCTATAAGGTTGGACATGTAATATGCAGGTGAGTTTTGGAGACATTTGGGCAGAAAAATTGTGTACAGTATCTTATAAGGCAGAGAATGTGGAAGTTTGATGCTCCTCACCTCCCATTTTTACACACAGGGGGAAGGAGGGAACTCTTAGCTGCTGATGAAGAGTTAAGTAGTTTTTTTACTGTAAGATTAAAATTATAAAAAGCTTAAGGTTAGAGAACTTAGTACAAACTATTATGAACTTTGCAGGAGCCAGTTCACATTCGCTTTAAGGAACTACTTCACGTGAAGGGTCAGCTGGAGAAGCGGGTCGAGGAACTGAGGAAGGAACTAGCAGCGAGACAGACCCACGACTCGCCACGTGTGGCATCAGCAATTGTGTAATCTATGGAAATTTTGTAATACTATAATGAATTGAGACAATATTAAGAATGAGGACATTGAGTGATATGGAGAAGAGGTGCAGAAATGCCTCTGTAAACCACAAGTGCTATACAGTGTAACCCCGCTTTACGCGGTCAATTGAACCCACGGAGGCCTGTGTAAAGCGGGAAACGCTTAAAGTGAACAACACAACATATGGGATTAATTGAAATAGAGACCGGGCCGACCCCCAAACTCCACTTTTTCCCGGCAATACGTACGTTTTAGTAAAAATAACATCTTAACTTTATGATGGTTTGCACACACACATAATATAGAAGAGAAATATCAATAAGATAATAATATACTGTACCAGGTAAAAGAAAAATCATGGTTTAACACTTACGTAAGATTAGGTTAGGTTTTAATAAATCAAGGTTTAACAGTTACGTAAGGTTAGGTTATGTTAGGAAAAATCAAGTTTAGGTTTAACACTTATGTTAGTAGAAGAGATGGGTCGGTTTACGGGAATGGAGGCTGGTTCCGAGGCAAAGGGCAGGCTACTGGCCCTCAGGTGAGTCACCATCACTGTCCTCCACACTTACTAGTGCCTCCCTGACAAATCCCTCAAAGTCACCATCACTGTCTCTGCCTCTGTCACTATCACTGGCTTGGGCTGGCTGTGGTGGGTTGCGGCGAAGAACTCGGTAATGCTTTGTTGACGGCTAGTGTTGATGTTGTCGTGATACACCTTGATGTAGGGCTCCATAGTCTGCAACAGCTGGGTAGTGAAGACTTCATACCGGTTATCGTCAGGGTCGTCGGAAAGGAGGAGCTTCAGTTTCTCTACACACTCGATGGCATCCCTTACATTACCATGCGATAATTTGTGTTCTTCTCTGGATGACGCACCGCCTGTCTCTTCACTGACGTGATCGTCATCTAACATCTCGTCGGCAGTCACATCAGGATCCCTTATCACCTCCATAATGTCGTCGTTGGTGGTCTCCGAGAAGCCTGCAGCTGTAACACTCTGCGCAACTTCTCTGGCAAGGTCCACTGCTACTCCAACAGTCTGAACCTCACCAGTCACAGATTGACTCTGCCTCCCACCTGGGATACCTTGCAACACATGTCTCCATGCATGACGAACCGTTGCTAAAGACAGCTGATCCCATGCCTCCACCAAGAAGTCCACAGCTTTCTTGACGTTAAATTTCCTCCGAAAGTGTTTCACAAGAACTAATAGCTCTGCCAACTGTTGTTCCTCGTCCTCGTCGCTCTTGCTATCGGTGTCATCCAGGTTACGCAACTCATCCTTGGTGTTGGTATAGTCGTTCAGGAGCTTAAACTTCTTTGCAGAGAATGCAGCTTTTACATTATAGATCAATTCTTGGTCCATGGGCTGTATTAATGACGTAGTGTTGGGAGGAAGGAAGACCACTTTTACGTTGGGGTGACGATCCAACAGTAGGGGCGAGTGTCCTGGTGCATTGTCAAGCAGCAACAAAATCTTGAATGGAACATTCTCTTGCTCACAGAATTTCTTCACATCGAGAACAAAACAAAGTCATCAAATCAGGAGAGTGACAGAGTAGAGAACATCCACGCCTTACGTGCAGTCAGCCAGCTTGGTCATGTTCTTGTAGGCATGTGGCTTGCGGGCTGTGTGGATCACCGATAACTTGAGTTTACAGGAACCGGAGGCATTGGTGGTAAAGAGGACGGTGATGCGCTCCTTCTGCAACTTCCGGCCCCGACACTTGCTGGCAGACTTGACAACGAAGGTCTTGGAAGGTAGCTTTTTCCAAAAGAGACCGGATTCGTCCATGTTGAACACCTGGTCGTTGGTGTACTGTCCTTCCTCCATAATCTCACGTAAGAATGGAGGAAAATCCCTAGCCGCAACACGGTTAGCACTAGCTTCTTTACCACCAATGTTAATGTTGGTGATCTTGTTCCTCTTCTTAAACCTCTGTAACCACCCAGAGGAAGCATTGAAGGGTTTGGGCTTTGCAATTCCCATCTTACGTGACACCGCTGCTTACAGTTCACGTGTGTACTCCTGAACTGAGCGCTTGTTGACGGCCATGTTCCGTCTTGCCTGACGAATCAAGTCGCTCACAAGTAACTTCTCCATCTTGAGAAGCACCTGGTTGTGGCAATACTTGATCATTGAAGCACCTGTAGACTTTGTGATGTTCATGTGTTCTTTTATCTTGGCTGCATCCTTCTTTATCGTCCGGATCGTAGATTCGTTTACACCATGCTGGCGCGCCAAATCAACCTGTCTTGTTCTTTTCTCCAGCTCTCGGATGATCTTGTACTTCACCTCATAGCTTAGGGCACGTCGTATCTTCTTTGGCTTAGGGCAGCTGGGTCCAGGTAATGCAAGGTTTGTTTGTGGTGGTGGTTCGGTGGCAGCCATTCTTATGGAACAATGGATATCGATATACACGGTGTAGCCGGGAGGGTGTAACTGACGTGGGTAGGTCAACGGGCTTAATCGCTCCCGCGGCAGGGCACGTCATATTACATTAAACCAATCACAGTTAGCGGGGGAGGGAGGTAAGGATGCTTGGCCCAATCACAGTCCGATACGTCATATGACGTCACCGATAACACAACAAAGACATACACTGCGCACCCTACTCGCTCCGCTTACCCAACATGGCGGGAGAGACGGCGGGAGGTTTGAATCCAAAAATGGCGCGGCGCGAGATGACCGCCAGCCGCTCTCCGCGTATATGAGTAGATGCATCGCGTAAAGTGAACATTCCGGTTCTGACGGGGTACTGCGTAAATGTAGAAACGCGTAAAGCGGGGTATTACTGTAGTAGGTTTATGTGTATCATCTTGTGTCTACAGTCAGGGCACAATCACCCTTGTAGAACTTCTTGAAGAAAATGGATTTTATATACTGTATAATGTAATGTAACTGTTTAAGTTATTTTCAAGGAAAAACATTATCAGAAAATTTAAGCATGCAATTTGTGTTGTTATTATTATTTTTCACTAATATGAAGGTGTTACTTGTTTATTCTTTTGTAATCTGTTTTACTGTACAGTATTAGGGAGACATATTTTTCACCTTTATCAATGACATACAGTGATTAGAAAAACTGCAATTATGTACTTTTTTTTACCAATGAAATAAGCAATGCATGTTGAGGAAAGTGTTGATACAAAGGCTGTGGTTACGTCACCTCACTCTTGTTTATATACTATAAGTATTATATACTGTAAACTGAGTTTGACTCATGTACTGTATTGTACAGTGTGGCTATCAATTATACATAAAATTAAGAGATACTTGCTGTCCAAAATTATTTTATATTGTACTGTGTAATTTACAGTCTTGAAATATATGCATAAGCCTGGTCTGGTGTAACACAGATGACATTAGAAAGAGAGAAAGAGGTTATAAGGAACTTGGATTAGTTGGTTCTCTTGTGAAGACTTGAGTGACCATTAAAAAATTGTTTCCCCTCCAGGAAAGAACGGAGTGGCCTATTGTGAGGCCTTCACTAATATCAGTAATAAAGACTACTGTTTCTCCATACAAATTACTACTCTGAGCACTTTTAATTATATGTAATGGAAGACTCAGTTGTAATACTACATAAGATATAACACAAAGTACAGTATAGTAAATCCTCGAAAGTCCGTGTAATGTGTGGGGTAAAGGAGGTCCAGGCTTGCTGATTGTCCGGACTTTTGTCAAGTGTTTTATTTTATTTATTTTTTTTTGGGGTGTTCTGGGGCCACCTGTGCACTATGCAACCACTCGCCAGCCATCCTCCCCTTGATGAGCCTTATATTTGTATTTTAATGTTCAATGAATGTACTGTAGACCCTCTAGTTATGAGAAACACCACCACCACCCACACACTCTAACACCACCCACACCCCAACACCACCCACCCACACACCCCAACACCACCCACCCACACACCCCAACACCACCCACCCACACACCCCAACACCACCCACCCACACACCCCAACACCACCCACCCACACACACCCCAACACCACCCACCCACACACCCCAACACCACCCACCCACACACCCCAACACCACCCACCCACACACCCCAACACCACCCACCCACACACCCCACACCCCCACCCACCACAACACCACCCACCCACACACCCCAACACCACCCACCCACACACCCCCAACACCCACCCACCACACACCACCCACACAACACCCCACCCACACCCACCCACACACAACACCACCCACCCACACACCCCAACACTACTCCACCCACACTACCCACCCACCCCCAACACACCCCACTCCACCCACCCCCAACAGAGTGAAGGTGACAGCTGCTGGTTTATTTCTTTGTTTTATAATATATTAATTGTAGTCTTATTGTATGACGTCAGTGTGTGTGCTTACAACTGTGTGGTGGCAGTGAAAGACAGCTGTTGAGGAGCTCTTGGCAACACTCCATCTCTCTAGTCACCCACACCTTTCTGTTTTCTCACTCCATAATGTTGAAGGGATACAATGTTGCTCATATATATTTACATACAATTTTGTAGTTATATATCAGCTGTTGAAGAGTTGTCTGGCAGTGTTACCAAAGAGAGCAATAGATGCGTCCCCTCCCCCACCACCACCTCCCCCACCACCACCTCCCTCACCACCACCTCCATCATCACACTACCTCTATTATCACTCACCACCTAAATAATAATTTCAGTGAGGCAGAGATGGCTTTACTTTAGCCAGAGCAGAGCTGTATGGTATCCACTGGCTCCCACCTCCCTCACTGCTTCTCACTCTTGTTTAACTTTAGCCAGAACAGAGCTGTATGGTATCCCCTGGCCTCCTCCCTCACTGCTTCTCCTCTTGTTTAACTTTCTGTATGGTATCCACTGGTTCCCCTCACTGCTTCTCCTCTGTTTAACTTTAGCCAGAACAGAGCAAGTATCCACTGGCCTCCACTCCTGCTTCTCCTCTTTTAACTTAGCCAGAACAGAGCTGCTGGTATCCACTGGCTCCCACTCACTGCTTCTCACTCTTGTTTAACTTTAGCCAGAACAGAGCTGTATGGTATCCACTGGCTACACCCCCTCACTGCTTCTCCTCTTGTTTAACTTTAGCCAGAACAGAGCCAGCATGGTATCCACTGGCTCCCCCTCCCACTCACTGCTTCTCACTCTTGTTTAACTTAGCCAGAACAGAGCTGTATGGTATCCACTGGCTCCCTCCCACTCACTGCTTCTCCTCTTGTTTAACTTTGGCCAGAACAGAGCTGTATGGTATACTGGCTCCCCCCACTGCTTTCACTCTGTTTAACTTAGCCAGAACAGCTGTATGGTATCCACTGGCTCCCCACCTCCCTCACTGCTTCTCACTCTTGTTTAACTTTTAGCCAGAACAGAGCTGTATGGTATCCACTGGCTCCCACCTCCCTCACTGCTTTCCTTGTTTAACTTTAGCCAGAACAGAGCTGGGCATCCTGGCTCCCCCCACTCACTGCCTCACTCTTGTTTAACTTTAGCCAGAACAGAGCTGTATGGCATCCACTGGCCTCCCTCACTGCTTCTCACTTTGCTTTAACTTTAGAAACAGAGCTGTATGGTATCTGGCTACCTCCCTCACTGCTTCTCACTTGTTTAACTTTAGCCAGAACAGAGCTGTATGGCATCCACTGGCTCCACCTCCCTCACTGCTTCTCACTCTTGTTTAACTTTAGCCAGAACAGAGCTGTATGGTATCCACTGGCTCACCTCCCTCACTGCTTTCACTTTGTTTAATCTTAGCCAGAACAGAGCTGTATGGTATCCACTGGCTCCTCCCTCACTGCTTCTCACTTGTTTAACTTTAGCCACAGAGCTGTATGGCATCCACTGGCTCTCCTCCCACTCACTGCTTCTCACTCTTGTTTAACTTAGCCAGAACAGAGCTGTATGGTATCCACTGGCTCCCCACTACTGCTTCTCACTCTTGTTTAACTTTAGCCAGAGCAGAGCTGTATGGCATCCACTGGCTCCTCCCACTCACTGCTTCTCACTCTTGTTTAACTTAGCCAGAACAGAGCTGTATGGTAGCACAGAACACTCTCCCCACCACTGCTTCTCACTCTTGTTTAACTTTTAGCCAGAACAGAGCTGTATGGTATCCACTGGCTCCTCCCCCTCACTGCTTCTCACTCTTGTTTAACTTTAGCCAGAGCAGAGCTGTACTCCACTGCCTTCTCACTCTCTTGTTTAACTTTAGCCAGAACAGAGCTGGGAGGGTATCCACTGGCTCCTCCACTCACTGCTTCTCACTCTTGTTTAACTTTAGCCAGAACAGAGCGTATGGTATCCACTGGTCACTGCTTCTCTTGTTTAACTTTACACTTTAGCCAGAACAGAGCTGTATGGTATCCACTGGCTCCCACCTCCCTCACTGCTTCTCACTCTTGTTTAACTTTAGCCAGAACAGAGCTGTATGGTATCCACTGGCTCCCTCCCACTCACTGCTTCTCACTCTTGTTTTACTTCAGTCATCACTATTATTCATCAGATGAGTCATACAAATATTGCTTTTTTTTCATTAATTAGTATAGATATATTACTATAATAATCTGTGTTTATTAATATCTGTAGCCTTGATATACTTCATCAAGAACTTATTGCCATGTATACACTGGTATAATGACAGCTCATTAAAAAGTAATTTATTTTATAAAATATATTACAGTAATTTATTATTCAAATATATACTGTACCCTGTGTTGTCTTTAATGGGGATACTGTACAGTGGTCTAATCGGCCTAACGAGAGCTTGTGGGTACTGTGCAGACATGACCCTGCTGGAGGTGAGGGAACTGCCAGTTGTCATCATCGTAAAGTTTGTTATTATTTATTCATTATTATGCAGTATTTTCGTATGAGCAGCCTATTATGGTGTATGTTTCATCATAAATAATGTAACATACAGTATTAAATAATAGGAAAAATACAATATATAATTTTTCTTCAAATAAAATAACACCGAGTCAGAAGGTAATCTCTTCCCTGTTGGGGGCGTCCCAGGACTAATTGTTGCCATATGCTTATGGTGTATGTTTCATCATTATAATAACAAATATTAACCGCAGCGCCCCGGGTGACGTTCCAGAACGTTCGCCTATTTTCCAGCCATTTTTTTTTTTTTTTTGAAAAGTTGAATGTTTTTCTTGGTTAATCCCTGCGGCGGGGAGCCTGACCCGGGGCTTAAGGGTTAGATAATAGAAAAATTATGAATTATAGTTTGTAAATTGACTTCAAAATCATGGAGACATGAACTATGCCAGGTGTGTGTGAGACATGAACTATGCCAGGTGTGTGAGACATGGACTATGCCAGGTGTGTGTGAGACATGAACTATGCCAGGTGTGTGTGAGACATGAACTATGCCAGGTGTGTGTGAGAGACATGAACTATGCCAGGTGTGTGTGAGACATGAACTATGCCAGGTGTGTGAGACATGAACTATGCCAGGTGTGTGTGTGACATGAACTATGCCAGGTGTGTGAGACATGGACTATGCCAGGTGTGTGTGAGACGTGAACTATGCCAGGTGTGTGAGACATGGACTATGCCAGGTGTGTGTGAGACATGGATGATACAACACACTGCTCTCTTTCCAGGAGGACTACCATCACTATTGTCTGAATTATTTTACCCAAAATATTACCATTTTTCTGTGACTGAATGTGTCTTGAACTTACAGCTAACCAATCACAGTGCAGCATTATGGGTGAATCTATTCTAAGAGTGGGAGGATTAAACTGCTCACTCGTAGATTCGAATGGAAGACAGAGGTCAAGGGATTGCCGGCTGGTGGCAGTTTTAAATGACTGAGCACGACAGGAATTTCAAACAAGAAATATTTAAGGGTTTTGAGAAATGTTTCTTGCCCGGAAAGGGTCTGGACTTTCGAGGGTTTACAATATACATAACTGGTCTCGGAGTTGTGGGATTACAGAACGGGGTCCCCGGGTTACGAACGGGTTCTGTTCCTGAGGAAGTTAGTAAGTTGGAACACAAGCTATATGCGTACTGTACTGTACTTACAAAACAATGTTTAAAATTCCACTATGGTATATCATAGTCTTAAGTCCTTATATACATCTAAAATCACTTAATTTAAAACAAAAGGAAAATAGAATGACAAAATACAGTAAATGAAAGAAAAATAAGTCATTAGGTAAATAAAATACAGTACTGTAAATTTCAAGTTTAACCTCGTGCTTCTCGGCAGACGTTCATAAGTCGGGGACCTGTACTGGATACACTTTTGGGTGTTGATAAATACTGGGTTACTCTTAGAAGGTTCCTTTAATGTGACCAACCCTGAGTTCATGTTTTCATATACAGTATATAACTTCCCCCAGCTGATGGGGTGATTCCTCTAATGGATCATTTGTCTAAATGTTTAACTTGAAAAACTTAATTTAAAGGCTCCATAAAAATTTCCTTAAAATTCCCCTAAAACTTCCCTTGTTCTACCCCAGCCATCCATTTCATATGGGTGGAGGAAAGATTCACCAATATAATACAGTTGATAACAGGTAAACAATTTACACCAATTTTAATGTTAATCACGAGTAAAACAGGCGTACTGTCTGATTCCTGTAAACGTATGTAATCAAACTAAACTATGACAATCTTTCAGTCCAATAGCTTTATATTATAATGTATTGTGCTATCACTCAGTGGAAACTAATTTATATATAGTATGAGGAAATTTGCTCTTTCATGTATGACCATGACAAATTACTGTAGAGGTATTAAATGAATTTTTTCCTCGGTACAGTACTGACACGAGAGGTTTCCAATAACTCCCTACACCTTAAGGACTTGTGTAGCTTAACGGAAATAGTTGACAGATATTAGAAATTGGTTTCTTTTGATGTACAGTACAGTAGGGGACCAATACCTCAGTTATGCACAAATCTTTATACAACTTGTTTGATATCGTATACTACCGTACCGTACTTGTTGAACTCATTCACTCACTCGGTTTACTGTAGGTTGTAATTGTGTGGGTAGAAAAGTTTGTTGATAATTGAAAGTATTAAGAATAAACTTTATTGATGTAGCTGTAGAAATTGTACAGAAAAAGGCATGATATAGAAAAGTTATTAGTACATTCCTATGTTAATATTTTGGTGTTCAAATCTCTGGTAACTGTTATGTTCCAGCACAGTTTGCATTTACTTATTTATTTACTATTTTTTATAAATATCTTTGCATCTTGTCAACAATTATTGGACTGCATGTATTGTACAGACCATTAATAGTATTGTAAAGGGAAACATGGAGTTAGGATGAGCAAGAATACAGGTTATGTGTACAGTACTGTGTGTTATGTATGGTCTTTGATTTACGTTAAGATCCAGAGTCGCCCATAAACAAAAGATGTGACATAATGTAAATTGGGATAAAACAATGGCATAAGAAACAACTATCTTATAATCAGGCTCCTCTTTGTTTACATGTAGTAAATATTAATAACAAATAGAGATTATCATGTAAATAAAGTTGTGGATTATTCAGTCCACAACTGAACCTCTTGGCAAAATGTTCTTATAGTCCAGCCGATTCCCTGCCAGACAACTGCTTAGCCCAGAGAGACCAAATTATTGTTGTTGCTTTATTTATAGTTTTTCACGTTAAGATTGTGATCAAATTTGATACAGTATTATTAAATCCCTATACTTACCCCCTGGTCTGAAGAAAAGTAAACATATTTTCTAGAGGGAAAGAGAATATTTTCCTTTTAAGCACAGTGGAGTTAACAGTAACAAGTGTAGGCTACCAGAAGTCAGAGTGAATGATGCTGTATTAACCTAAATTTGAAATAAGTTGATGGTGCTCTTTATTTGATATTAGACATTTCAGGTTCAGGTAACATTGAAGATTACTGATGAGAGAATAAGGTGTGTCAGTAACCATCACTGACTGACCAGATCATGTCTGCTGGAGTATTTATTGTCATCCATTAGTTTGGTAGATTACAGCAACTAAAAGAGACGCCTCATCCCGGTGAATGTAGTCTAAGACAACAATTATAAATAGTCTATACCTGAAGTAACAGTATGATGTAATGTAAATAGTAGCTAAGAGTTAGTTCAGAATATATATATATATATATATATATATATATATATATATATATATATATATATATATATATATATATATATATATATATATATATATATATCCTTAAATGTTCATGTTTGACAAACTAGACTTAAGTATAAGCTGTATGTGCTTCTTGCTGGTCCCAGATAATACATTGTATCTTGTGTATTTTTAATAAATTATAAACAATTACAAGCAGTGCTTGTAATTGTTTATGTTCTCAAAATGTTCCTAAAATTTTTAATTTTTCTCATTACACCTTAGGTAGCCTTCAATATGTGAAGCTCACTTTATCAATATTTACCACAACTTGATGTACTGTTACAGTCTTGAAGTGACGTACCTAACCCGTGTCTTCGTCACTTTACCCACAAACAAGTTTACGTTGTAATTAACCAGGATCCTGATTTTCATCATCATGACAATACATTTAATATATTCACTTATACTTTGTTAGTACAGTATAAGCATTGTTTAATCACACATGAGGACTGATACACTACTACTGGTAGATATTTCTTATTAAAGTCCATCCTGGTGATTAATAACCAAAACCAAAGAGGAAACCCCATTGACACATATCCCTTGTGTCACGTGTTGGCTGGTACAGTATATACTCTATTATCAAGGCACAAGTGTTGATATTGTGAAAACATATACGGAGTGGTTATCATCACAATAACACGTGTGTTGGCCCCATCCATGACTATATGTGTAATAATAGTTTGGAGATTAAAATATTTATCAACCATCAGAGTTAAGGCTGACTGTCTGACTCAGGGATGTTTATGTTTGCAGATGCCAAGTAATGATTGTGTATCACATTGTCCTCTGATTAATACTCTGTAAAGCATCAAATAGATTCACTACTCCTCTACATTTCCTAAACACCTTTGACTATTGTTTCATCTTGTTCAAATTTTCATGTCAGTTCAATATATCCTTGTTTTTAATAGTATTACAGTATATATTGATGATTCAGGTGCATTATATCATAGTAACATTCATACGATGTTGCAGTAGTTTGTGGTAATGAAGTGTAGTTTACCATGTTTTATTTTGTATTGTACATTTTTTCTATACTGTACAAAGTAAAATAGTATATAAACATTGAAACATAATATTTAAAACAGATTTTTTTAACCTATTAAACTTGACAGTAACCAACTGTACCTGAGAAGTGTCTCAACTAATAAGTACACAAAATGTTTGGACCTCACATTGGATTTTTCCAATCAAAGAATGTGATGTTATGAGTCAAAAATTACCTTCTACAGAGGGGGCCAAAGATTTTTTTATGGAGTCTTACCAAAGCTGGGAGAGTGCGGTGGTCAAGTGAATACAGTGCTCACATTCTATTCCAGGGTTCGGCGGTCTAATTTCCAGGCGCTCCCAGTTCGCCCAGTTTTAAATGGGGTACCTGAGTTGTGGCTGCCTTTAATGTACAGTATTGGACGTTGCTGGAGAACTCCGAGATGTACGCCAAGTGGCGCAGGACACGAGGTGTATGTGACTGGGAGCCTGAAGTAAAGGCTTGGACGAGGGACTTGTGATCAGTGAAGATGGTGAACTAACGGGCCTCGAGGAAGTGCTGGAAATGTTTGACAGCCAGGTATATGGCCAGGAGTTCTCGATCAAAGGCGCTGTACTTGAGGTGTGGTGCTTGAAGCCGTTGTGAGAAGAAAACAACGGGCATGAGAATTCCGTTGATCTCCTGCTGTAAGACGGCGCCCACTGCAGTAGAAGAAGCGTCTGTTGTGAGAGTGGTCGGGCGTTAGGTGCAGGGTGGGCCAGGAGGGTAAGGCGTGTGATGTGCTGTTTGATAGCGGTGAATGCCGTAACAACCTCTTGAGTCCACACGAGAGGTTTGTGAGACTTCTTTGGGAGTCCCTGGAGAAGGTTGTAGAGGGGAACTAGGATGGTGGCAGCGTTGTCAATGAAGCGGTGATAGTAGTTGACTAAACCCAGGAATTCTCAGAGTTTCTTCACCGTTTCAGGTTTGGGGAACTCCCTAATGGTGGTTATTTTCTGTGGTAGGGGTTGTATGCCACTGGGCGAGACTCTGTGACCGAGGAAATCGATGGAGAAGGCTCCGAAGATGCACTTAGCAGGATGAGGTTTCAAGTTGTTGTTCTGCAAGCGTTGGAGGAGGAGTTGTAGGTGGTGATGATGCTCGGCAGGCGTCGAGGATGTCGTCAATGTAGATGGTGACAAAATCGAGGTCGCGAAGCATATGGTCCATGTACCTCTGGAAAGTCTGTGCTGCATTGCGTAGGCCAAAACTCATGAAAGTATACTCGAAGAGTCCGAATGGAGTGGTTATGGCTGTCTTCTGGGTATCTGCAGGTGCTACAGGGATCTGGTGGAAGGCATGCTCCAAGTCGATCTTCGAGAAGATTGTCTTGTCGTGAAGTTTGTGGTGGAAGTCCTGGACATGCGGAATAGGGTACCTGTCGGGTTTGATGATGAGGTTCAGGGCTCTGTAGTCGCCACACACCCTCCAGTCGCCGGATGATGGCTTAAGAACCATGTGAAGAGGCGATGCCCAGGGACTCTTTTGAAGGACGAATGATGCCGTCTTGCAGTAGTCTGTTGAATTTCACCTTGGCTGCGTTTAGGAGCTCAGGCGGTGGGGGCGTGAAAAGACTAGAGGTCCTTTGGTCTCGATGTGGTGAAAAATTCCCGACGTAGGTGGTAGGGGTGGAAAGACTCGGGGTGAGAAAAGCTCCTTGAACTCTTCGAGCAGATGGGAGAACTCGTTGGACGGCGAAAGACAGGTGATAGTGTCGGTGTGTCTGGCATGAGAACCCTGGATCTTGCGTGCTGTAGGCTCATGGATGAGGTGAAGATGGCTTGGGTCGACGCCGAGCTTGTGGAAGGTGAGGAAGTCGAAGCCAAGGATGGGTTGAGACACGTCTGCGACCACGAATGACCAGCGCAGAGTCTTGGGAAGACCGAGGTCTAAGGCGAGGGTGCGTGTGCCGTAGGATGCGATAGGGGTACTGTTGGCGGCGAACAGGTCATAAGAGGGTTGCTTTGACGTGTCTTTTAGTGAGGGAGGGATGATACTGACCGATGAACCTGTGTCGACGAGGAATTTCGTGCCGGAGGTGCGGTCGGTGACGTGCAGTAGTGAGACGCCTGAAGGGACAGGGCTGAGGCCTCTACCAGCCTCCCTTGTTGCCGTTTCCCGAGTAGATGCAGTGGGGCCGAAACGCCAGTAATACCAGCTGAGGATATATTCGTTGTGCTGGGGGCTGGCTGCTGTTTCCGGGACAGGAAGGGCGCTTTGGGACTTGTAGGGCGTGATGCGTGAGTCAGGATCTGGCCCAGCAGCGGGCATGGAGGAGCAGAACTGCTCAATGGTGTCCATCCTGCGGTTCAAAGTTTGCTGCAGGTCCCTGATGTCTTGTGAGGTATTGCTCGGCTGAGGGGTGTTGACCCGGCTTACAAGTTTGGAGGTAGGTACTGGTGTGGGTGTGGGGTTGTCCGCGGCGGCAAGGCGCACAGCAGCGCACTCGTTGAAAATTCTGTCTGCCACGGTTGCGTATAGTTCTGGTGCCGTAGAGTAATCTACTGCGGACAGGATAATGCATACTTGTGTGGGTAGCTTTTGTGCGTGAAGCTGGCGCAGGATAGAGTCAGGAAGTCTGTCTGTGTGTCAGGAGTTCAGCCTACACATCTCCTCCCAGAGAAGTCCCGGAGTTGAGTTTCCAAGGGAGATAGAAGATAGGTTCTGTAGGAGATTGGGGCGGATCCGTCGGTAATGCGTTTTTAAGGCATCCCGCAGGGTGGCGAATTTGTTGTTCGCTGGAGGGTTGGAGATGGTCTGTGAGACTTGTGTGGCGACTTCAGTGGGCAAGGAACAGAGCAGGGCGCCGTACTTTTGCTTGTCTGTAGCTGTAGAGCCGATGAGGGTTGCTTCCACATGAACTAACCAGTCCTCTATGTTGTGGTTGAAAGTCGGTAGAGAGATCCGTCCGTCCATTCTTGCGGGAGTATGTCACACCTGTTAGGGAAGGATGAAGGACGGGTTCTTGTTCCGACCCCCTTCCTTGTTCACAATCTCCTGGGAGGGAGGTGAACAGTTGCAGGGGGGACTTCGGGACGAATACACTTTTTAGGGTGCAGGTCCTTAGGCCAGAACTAAAAAAACAAAAGAAAAATAGGAGAATAGGCAAAAGAGCTCAAACCACGTTTGGAATCTCGCACAATAGTTGCTCTCCAGCTGTGATGTGGGCCACTCACACTGCCAGTGGGGAGAACAGACTAATGCGTTATAAACCTTATGGTCGTGAGATGGTGTCGTTGTGGAGTAGCGAGTGATGCAGGTAAGGCGGTTGGCCTAGGCTGGCAGCAGGCAGGACGATCTTCTCAGCTCCAGGAGTAAGGCAGCAGAAAGGGGTCACCAATTGTAGCGTACTGTTGTGGCAGGTTGTCAAATTCTCTTTATATGGTCTCACAACGTACGTACATGTAATATATCTCACACTCAGGTTTGAGGTAGAATAGAAACTCACAATGCTTTTTCTGTATATATATATATATTGTTGTACAGTGCAGTGTTAAGGAGTTACTAGGTCAGGAGAAGCTTGTTCAGAGTTCCTGTTGGGCGAGGAGCTTTCTGAGGGAGCGTGTGGTGAGGAGATGTTACCGGTCCGGTAGCCGAGTGTAGAGTGACCTCCCCGGCCAGCCGGGCCCGTATTTATGTGATTTAGAAACCTCAGGATTTGAGGCGCTCGTAGCGCGAGAGCCAATCACGGGAGAGGAAGCTGAAAGTTGAAGGTCGAGACTAGGTCGGCGATCGTACCCCTACGTCCACTGCATAGACCTAGTCTCTCGGCGTAGCGGGCTGATTGGCTGGTAGGCGCGTGGCCGGAGCTCAGTTGGGAGTTGTAGGGTAGAGGATCCACTACAACACAATCACGTCGCCTCCGTTCTCAACAGACTGCAGCAAGTAATCGAGAATGAAGGTGGCTGGACTAAATATTAATGTGTCAGAAATAACTTCCCTGTGTAATCAACGTCACATACTGAATGCACATCGATATTATTTTTTTTCCATGTTAACTGTAATAAATATAATTTTCATGAATATATATCGAATTGTATAATAAATGTAAAGAAAACAATCCTCTTCTATTATCCTCACTTATGCAGTATGTATTCAGGATGATTTAAGTCAAACAAATCATAACATTATATTTATAATTATTATGAAAGAGTACAGTATCATATAGGATAAATATATTGCATGAGAAATAATTACCATATACAGTAGTACCCCGATTTACGCGGTCAATTGAACCCACAGGGTACCGCGGAAAGTGAAATCCGCGTAAAGTGAACAACAGAACATATGGGATTAATTCCAATAGAGACTGGCCCAACCCCCCAAACTCCACTTTTTGACGACACACAACTATGTTGTAGTAAAAATATTATCTTAACTTTATGACGATATGAACACACAATTAATATAGAAGAGGTTAGGTTAGGAAAAATAAAGGTTAAGTTAGGAAAAATAAAGGTTAGGTTAGGAAAAATAAAGGTTAGGTTTAACACTTACGTTAGTAGAAGAGATGGGTCGGCATACCGGGATGGAGGCTGGTTCTGAGGCAGAGGGCAGATTACTGGCCCTCAAGTGAATCACCATCACTATCCGTCATAGTTGTCAGGGCCTCCCTGACAAATCCCTCAAAGTCACCTTCACTGTCACTATCACTGGCTCTGGCAAGCTGTGGTGGGTTGCGGGCGAAGAACTCGGTAATGCTTTCTTGACGGCTAGTGTTGATGTTGTCTTCATACACCTTGATGTACGGCTCCATAGTCTGCACCAGCCGGGTATGGAAGACTTCATAGCGGTCATCATCATTGTCGTTGGAAAGGAAGGACTTCATTTTCTCTGCACACTCGATGGCACCCTTAATATTACTATGCGTTAACTTGTGTTCTTCTGGGATTGACGCACCATCTTCCTCTTCACTGACGTGATCATCTTCCAACATCTCGCCGGCAGTCATTTCAGGATCTCTGATCACCTCCAGGATGTCTTCGTTGGTGGTCTCGGAGAAGCCTTCAGCTGTAATACTGTGAGCAGCTTCTCTTGCAAGGTCCAATG